AGAATAGTGCTGGCCATGGTGTAAATGCTGTGTCTTGTGAGTTGTTTATCACTCTCAAGAATGCAGAAAGAGTTTAGAGGACTGGGGGGTGGAGGAGCCAGTTGAAGTCATTTCTCCCAGGCAGCTTTTCCCTGTCCTATCTAAAGTTCAGAGATATGGCAGGGCTTGGCCGCCTCGCCTGGGCACCCATGCCCTGCTGCCCTCATACCCTCAGAGGGAAAAGGGAAAATGGGCTCCGTGTCCCAGGCATGTGGGGACAGGAACGATGACTTGGCTGTCATCAGGCCTTGCCCTTTCTGACCCCAAGCTCTTCCTGGGACCAAGGCCAGTTTACATAGCAGTGAGGACTGGCTGGGCCAGCTGCTAGAGGGCTGAGGAAGGCGCCCCTGCCGCCACTGAAAGGGGGGCGTCTAGGGACCCGGCACGGAAAGGAGAAGAAAGAATATTTTGTAGGTTCGTCTCACACTCACTGCCCTCACCATATTTTCCCCTCCTGCTTCTTCGTGGCCAAGTCTAGGATCCTTCTCAACTAGTCCTGTCTGCACTGAGGGTTAGGTGACCAGGGCCCACGTGGGGATACCGAGGGCCAGCGGAATCCACCGTTGCTCACACCCTTCTCAAAGCACATGTGGGGGGCTCCAGTTCAGCACCTCAGGCAGAGTTTGGTCAGCAGCCAAAGAGACTTAGTTCCAGCACGCCCTGCCCTTTCAGGCCAGGCACCACCTGTGGCCACCTCCCTGTCCTCCATGCCCAGCTGAAGTGTCGCATCTGTTTAGAAGCCACCACAGCTTTCCTGGAAGGCTGGCTCCATTCTGAGCAGACAGGAGCCCACCGTTATCTCCCTGTGGCCCTTGAGTGTAAACACCGTCTCCACCCCCTTGCCTGTGAGCCTGATTCATCTTTGTCCCCCAGCCCCTTGCACACGTGGCAGGGAAATGTTCTAGGGGCTGCCAAACAAATGTCCATGTCCTCAGGAAATGTTGACCCGCTGGGTTATCAGCCAGAGACAACTGGTAAAGGAGGGTAAACATCCCTCCCCTAGATCCCACACTCTGTCCACTGCCCTCCCCTCTGGCCTAGCTTTCCCAGCCACTTCTGATTTGCATGGTGAATTCCAGAGAGGAGAAATCTAGGTGTGTGTAAGAAAAAAGAAATTCAAGTGTCATGGTACGCACGCCAAAGAACAACAGATACTCTAAGACTGCCTGGTTCCACATTATCCTTGTCCTTGTTCCCCACGGGGGTAGGTGGCAGACGAGCAAGTGTTCCTATCTTTAAAGATTGCTTTTAGGAGGAAGTTCACACATCAGACCCCGAGCAGACGGAGCTGGGACTCGGAGGGGCTTCCTTGCACAAAGGTGGGAGGGTGGGATCCCTACAGGGACTTCCTGCCTGCCCTGAGCCACTTAATCTAGGTATGTTACAGGATGCAGGGAGTTCCACAAACTGTGATTCCATGTGCAGTCAGGTGTGGAGCCCTCACCCAGGCTCAAGACTCTTTCCAGACCAAAAGAAGGGGAAAAAATATGCCAGTCCATTCCTCTCTCTTCCCCTGCCCTCGGCGAAGGAAGGGCTAGACTTCATCCTGCTGCACTGAAACGCTGGACAAAACGTCCTGCCCCATGTGCTCACACCCAGACACACACAGAGACACCACCACACACGCCAACATGCCCACAGGCACACCTGCTGCCATGGCCCAGCCAGCGGGTGCACACATGTGTGCACACACAACACACACACATCCACACACCACAAAGGCTCTTTTTGACTCTGCACAAACTGCTGTCTCTGGTCTGTTTGCTCCCCCTCCCTCTCTCTCTCTTTTTTTTTTTTTGGTCATATGGCTCGTGGGTTCTTAGTTCCCCAACCAGAGACAGAACCTGCACCCCCTTAAGTGGGAGCACAGAGTCTTAACCACTAGACCACCTGGGAAGTCCCAGATTCAGCCTTGTCTTTTTTTTTGTCTGCACTGCATGGCTTGTGGGATCTTAGTTCCCCGACCAGGGATCAAACTTGCATCCTTGGCAGTGAACATGCCTAACCACTGGACTGCCAGGGAAGCCCCTGATCCGCTCTTAAACACACAGCCCTCAGCCTGTGTGGCTCCGAGCACAGCCCTGGAGCCAGCTGCCTGGATTCAAATCCCACTTCTACCCCTTAACAGCTGGTGACCCTGGGCTCCACACTTAGCTCCTCTGAGCCTCAGCTTCCTCACCCTGTAAACGGGGGTGGCCTCTGCACTGTGTCATTGTGAGGGTTCCATGGGAAAAATATAGAAGCTCAGGAGCAGTGCCGCTGTTTATTCTCATTAGAACCATCACTGTGGTGACTACCCCACCAGCTGGGACACTGTAGATGTCTGGGGTTCTCCACGCACCACACGCTCTACAGACACTCTGAAGGTGCACCCATATGTGTGTACGTGGACACACGGACACACCCACACACCACTGTACACTCTTGGGTAAGCTGACACAGAAAAGCACATACGTGGCTGTAGGATGTGGCCCAAGCTCGTGTCTGCACTGTGGAGAACCAAGGCCCACACAACCTAACACCCCATCCAGACTCGCATGACTCATTGCTCGCTGAGACGGGCAGTGCCCACCCTTGTCACCAGCAGGACCTGAGCCTAAGACTGACCGTACAGCAGGCCTGCATCTGCTCCCCCAAATCTCACCCCCTTGGCTGGAATTCCCCAACGTGAGGCTGACTCCAAGGACCAGGGGGGGCATCTGAAGGTGAGAAAAGCCTCCCAGACGGCTCAGCTGCACAACTCTGAGACCCCCCTGGCCTACAGTCATCAGGAAGAGACTGGAAGGGCCCAGGTCCTGAACTCGGCCTCTTGACTTTAATTCTGGGCTTTCTCTCCACCCCACACACACCATCGCCCTCTGTCCCCCTTCCTAGGCTCTGCACCTCCCGGGGCCCAGCCTGCTGTGTGTCTGATCTCTGATGCCTCTGGTCTCTGACACAGAGGCACAGTAGGTGTGGAAAGATGAGGTGATGAATAAATGAGAGGGGATCAAGGGAGCCCAGACGGATCCTGCTCCTCCTCCTGCTGACCCAGTGCTGGTTCTGGTGGGAACAGAACCCAGGTCAGCAACATAGCCATGCTGCCTAAACCCTGCCCTGGCTGAGCCTCCAACTCAGGCTAGCTAGGACCTCTCAAGGTGGGAGCTCATGGTCCCCATTTTTTGAGCCTCCAGTTTTCCAGCATCCAGGACAAGGCAAGGATGTACAGTCTCAGGATCTCAGGTTAGAGACTGTCTCTTCTACACACCAGGAGGGGGCCTGAAGACAGTCCTGTCTGGAGCCGCCTTCTCCGGGCACCAGGGTCTCCCGGCCAGGCCTCCTGACCTGAGTGCTCAGTGGAACTGGCCTGGCACCCGGCATCTTCCAGAGCCTTCCACGTGCAGGCCCCCCACAGGACAGTCGAGTGGAACGCACACGGGCCCTGAGCCCTCCAGCATCACTTCCTTGGCTCTCCTCAGTCCTCTGAGGGGACATGGACCCCAGTCAGCACCCAGGGTGAGTGGTAGAGCCACTTCCTGGGTCAGAGGTCAGTCTCTGCACCACACAGAGAAACCCGAGCAGGCCAGGGGCCTTCTGCCTGTTTGGACACCCCATATTTGCCAAAAAAAAAAAAATAACCAGAATACCATGAGACGTGCTGTGACCCCTCACCCCAGCATTTATGATGCAGCCACCACCAGACCCCTCTCTGCCCATCCTGTCTCAGCCCTCAGTACTCCCACATGAGAAGGCGCCACGGCGACCTGACCGGGTCCTCCCAGGGCTCCCAACATGCCAGCCCCTCTGCCTGGTTTAGGGTCCCCCCGCCCTGGCTCCTTTCTTCCCCATCACTGTCCGACATCCTGGCTCTCAGAGTTCACCCTCGGCACAGAGCCTGCTCTGACCACAGGATGCCCCCCGCTGCCATCACCCCCCTTCAGCAAGCTCTTTCTCGACTCCCCGGGAGCCCTCTCCCCAGATGTTCCAGGCTCTCGCCCCTTCGTCTCACTCTTTTTCAAGGTGTGAATGTTTCCCAGCTCTGCCTTCACCCTGGGCTCTCCCCACTCCACATAGTCCTCTTGAGTGACACCACCCACTCCTGTGGACTACGAGATCCCCAAATCCACATCTCTCACTGAGATCTCTCTCCTGAACCCCAGTGCCTCCACAGTGGACATCCCCCAGGTACCATGAGGTCACTGCGTCCAAATCTGAGTTGATGCTCCCTTTAAAACCACTCAATGACGGCACCACTGCCCACCCAGAGCGCCGGGTGTCAGCAGCGACTCCCTCGGTCCTCTCCCCAACACCCCCAGGCTCCATCCACCCTGCCCCATATCCAGAGTCCCCACCCTGCTCCACACCACCAGGGCGCTCTTCTGCTGGCGCCTGCCATGTGGCCTTCCTATTGATAGGTTTGTGCCCCTTCAATCTATTTTCCACACAGCACCCAGAGGGATCCTTCAAAAGTATCAATGTCATCATATCACACCCCTGCTTAAAAGCCTACCATGCTGTGCCGTGCTAAGTTGCTTCCGTCGTGTCTGACTCTGTGCGACCCCATGAACTGCAGCCCACCAGCCTCTGTCCTCGGTGACTCACCAAGCCTTCAGAATCCGGCCCCAAGGCCAAAGCCCTCCCGGACGGGGCCCTGGGACCCAGATAGCAGCCTCATCTGCTGCAACAAGCCGATCAGTGTTTCTGATTGCCACCTCTGGGCCTTTGCATACCCTGTCCCCATGCTCTAGGAGGTCTTTCTCCTGTTTTGTCACCTGGCTGACGCTGCCCAGAAACCGAGACTCGACTCAGAACCCTGCCCGCCACAATCATTCTTGCAGACCCTTAAACCTGTCTCCCTTCATCACGGCTGCAACCGTTGGGTGCTAGTCGGCAGCCCCCGGGGAGCACACGGGAGTGCTCTCAGTTGCACGCCAGGACTGTGGGCATTGGGGATGGGGAGCGGGGTGTGAGCCCAGCCTTACCTGTCTCTGCGGGCCCGTGGGATCCGACTCTCTCCGTCGGGGGCGGGGTCCAGAGTGCAGGGGCGAGTGGGAAGGGCTGCCGGGCGTGGGGGGCTGTGATGTCTCTGACCGGCCGTCGGCCTGGCTCAGCTGGGGTGGCGGGGGCTGGGCCGGCGTCAGCCGCAGGTCCTCCTCGGCCAGCGTGTGCATGCCACGTCCCCTGGGCCGGACGGCGGGCTCTGGCCCTGGCCGCCGCCGCTCCTCAGCCTCCTCAGGCAGCGGCCGCAGCTCCTCGGGCTCCTCGTCCGTGGTGCCCGACGTGCTGGGCTCAGCCCCCGGGGGGAAGTCCTTCAACTCTGTCTCCTTGTCGATGATGACCCACTCTTTGCTGTCGAAGTCCTCCTCCTCGGCCAGTGGCACCGAGCGGAAGGCGTTGCTCAGGGCCTCCTGCTCAACGGAGGCTGACACGTCCATGCGGCCGCTGGCCTGCCGATCGGCGTGGCCTGTGTCCACTGACAGCATCTGGGCCGGCTGCGAGGAGCAGGCTTGGCGCGATGGTGAGCCGGGCAGATCCATCCGTGACCTGCAAAGCCACCCCACGTGGGGCTCAGTGCCCGGCCTCTCTGGATCCCCAAGGACCCCGAGGTGGAGCTCTATGCCTGGGACCTCCTGACTCTGTCCTTCTCCTACCCTGGGCCAGGCTCAGCCACCTGCTGGGTTATCACCCTGCAATCTCAGTCCTTGCAAAGAGCTCATGCATTCATTCAACACACATTTTTGAATGCTTACTATGTTCCAGGAATCTAAACACGCAGTAAGTAAAATTCTTGGGCTCAAGGAACACTGTCCTCCAGACCATTCCCAGAAATTTGGATCTTCCTAAAGATAACTTGATGCTTGCCCAGCCAGGGCTTCCACCCGCTCCAGGCTTGCACCTGATGTGCCCAAGACGAACACACCCACCTGGCCCTCGAGTATGCTGATGGTTTTCTGGCCTCTTACCATCACCCTTCAGGCATACCTGGCTGGTTTCACCACCTCCAACAAACTCCAGTGACCGACCCCCCACCAGCCCAGGACAAAGCCCACATGCCTTAGTCTGGCATTCAAGGCCCCTGGCAGCCAGACAGAGGCCCTGTTTCCCATTTATCCTAGCCAGACCCATCTCAAAATCACCTGCTTTTTCCTAAATTTTTCACACCTCTGTGCCTTTATAAATGCCTCTCCTCCCGCACGGCCTGCCGTTCCACCCTGTGCTGTCCACCCCAGCTCAGTGTCACTTCCTAAAGGGAGCTGTTCCCGCCTGCATTGATGGGGGGCTAGTTTGCCCTGGGGGGGCTAGTTTGCCCTCCCAGGGCTTGCCTGTGTCCCCTCACGTCACAGCACGTGTGTGTTTATGAGTCTGTCTCCCCAGGAGGCGGTGAGTTCTGCCAGGCAGGGGTTGGGTCCCCTCTGGCTTTTGCTTCTGGGACACTGATTCTACCTGGGGACATCTCTTTCGTTGTTATCTTAACCTGTGCTGTGAATCTCACATGACTTGCTGAGGTTCTCAACTGGGGTTTACTGGCCCCAAGGTGAGGATATTCCTCAGGAATGCTACATGAGGAAGATGCTGGATGCTACACAAGGAAGAACTGTCCTCCCCCACATTCCAGGATGCCCTGCTGAGAACCGCGCAGAACTCACTCACACTCAGGCTGTGGGCAGGGGGCTGACTGCCATCCTCCCCACCAGCATCGAGCCTGTGAGGGGAGGGGTGCAGATCAAAGCCTCCTGTCGGCCTTTCTCAGCATCCTCCCACCCTGGCCTATGTGGGCCCCGCCAACACTAATCTGCACAGCATTTTTATCGATTTGTTCATAAACTTAAAAAAAAACAAAGGGAGGTCAGCCAGGTCTTACATTCACACTCCCATTTAAGTGGCTGATGTCACTTGCTTTCCCAAGAGCATGGCTTGTTTTGATGGACATGAAGGAGAGAGGGGGCCAGAGGGAGAGAGAGGCTGAAGATAGGATGGGGGGGGGGAATCGATGAAAGCAGGGAGGGGCACACCCTGATCCCATCTGCTTCATACACTCTCCTGCTCCCACATGCCCCAGAGCCCCCAAATCCTCTGCCCTGCTTGAGATCCTGACCCTTCCCTTCCAGGAAATCTCCCCTTGACCCTCTCCTCTCCTGAAACAAGGGTTCACTCCAGGCCAGACCAAGGTGCTCTCCAGGACTGTCTTTGCTCAGGGCATTTCGCACCTCCCTCCTCCACTCATCTCCCTTCCAAACTGCCCTTCCTCACTCCTCCCTGTTTCCTGAACCCTCAGGGGGACCGGGGAGGAAAATGTGGTCTTCTGTCCAGGGGATTCAACCTGTGAGAGTGTGAATGTGGTGAGTGTGTGTGGATATGAGTGTGTGTGTGAGGGCTGACGGCTCCCTCAGGACAGGGCCTTCGTCCCTCCGTCCTGGGGTCACCAGAGGGATTGGCACAGGGCTGCCCTGTCTCGAGTACCCCAGAGGGGCACTGTGCCCGTCCCGGAGGTGGAGCGCAGTTTGGGGCAGAATCCAGAGGGGGGATGGTGGCTGAGGTGGGGCAGAAGGAGACATGGGTGTGGACAGGACCCCCTACCCCGAGGCTGGGCCAAGGGAGCTGGGGTCATCTCTGCCACCCGAGGTGGTCCCAGCCACCAGATGAGGAACCCGCCCTGGTCCCTGGCAGCCGTGGGCCACCAGCCACTCTCATCCCACATCCTAAAGGCTCGCCTTGGCTCTCAACTCTCCCAACACTCCCTCACATCAACCAGGTCCCCCCTCCCTCCCTGACATTCAGACTCCCAAGCCCTAACCCCCAAAACTTGGTCTGTCTCCTCCTCAAAACTCCCCTCAACACCTGCTGAATCTCCTCCAGGCTCCTCCCCCGGAGCTGGAGGAAGCTTCCCCAGTTGCTCTGAGGCCTCTGTAATTAGTCCCTAGGGAAAGAGGTTCTGGAAGCACGCCCACCTACCATCTCAGCCTTCACCTCCTCCTATGCCTGCCCCCCACCCCACACCCCTTCGTGGCCTGAGCTGGGCCCTCTATACCCCCACCCCCTCTCCAGGGCTGGTCACTGATGCAAACTGAGTCCCCAGGACCAAGCATAAACCTCGTAACCCTTCCAGGGTCCCCCAACTCTGCCTGGAAATTGCCCTTCCTCCAGACCAGCTGTGAGAAGCTGATGGGGTGGGGGGGAGCAGGGACTCTTGACCATCCCCCTGGCTCCAGACCCACCTCCTGTCATGCAGTTCCACCCGCCCGTCCGCCGTGGACAGCCTCTCGGACTCAGGGCTGTTGACCCTCCGGTAGCGCAGAGAACGGACAGGGGTTGTCGGCGAGTCTGGGGGAGCCCGGACTGGGGAGCTGGGGACCCCCACACCACGGCTCTGCTCCTCCTCCACCACAGCGGGGGTCTGCAGGAGAGGGGAGTCCCATGAGCTGGGGCTGATGGGTGGCTGTGGGGCTGTGGTTTTCTTGGGGCGAAGGAGGGAGTGGGAGGTCCAAGCACTGGGTGCCAGTGATCCCGGGAAGGCGCCAGGCCAAGCAGGCAGGGCGAGCAGGCAGGTGGCTGGGGAGAGGAACCCACAGGTGGGGAACAAGGGGGGAGGGGGAGAAGGCCACCCACATCGCCCTCCCTGGCTGCAGTTACTTTTCCAATGTTGATCCGGAGTTTGTTCCGGTTGACATCCGTCTCCTCCCAGACTTCAGCCTCAGGACCCCCGGGGTGGGGGATAAGGTGGGGGCTGGGACCCAGCCCCTCGGGGGGCCGTCCAGGCAGGATAGGGGGTGCATTCTCCTGGTCACTCAGATGCTCGCCCTGCAACACGTCCTCGGTGTTCTCCCGAAGCAGGTCACCAGGCACTGGCGTCACATTGACCACCCTGTGGAGGCCAAGAGGGAGCCGTGGGCAAGGTTGGCGGGGGGCTGCCCTCTCCTCTAGCACTGGAGACCACCCACCACCTGTGGGCGGGGGCACAGGAGACGTCCGGCAGGTTGGGGGCGTCCATAGGCCTATCTCCATCTCTGGTTTCCAGACCCTCTGGGACCATAATACCCTCAGGTGGCTCCAGTGGGCAGAGACTTGGAGGCGGGCTACAGCACCACCTGGCTCTATTTATTTAGGAGATTCGCTGCTTCGCAGCCCTGACAGCTCCCTACTGCAGTTTGCTGGCCTGATTCCTCGAGACTGGGCATACACGCCTGCTAAGTCACATCAGTCATGTCTGACTCCATGTGACCCCATGGACTGTAGCTCATCAGGCTCCTCTGTCCACGGGATTCTCCAGGCAAGAATACTGGAGTGGGTTGCCATTTCCTTCTCCAGGGGATCTTCCCGACCCAGGGACAAACCCGTGGGCAAGCGAGTTTCTTTGCTACTAGCACCACCTGGGAAGCCCTTCAGACTAGGAAATGGGTCTAAAGAAAGAATCACTTTGGAGTTCCTCAAGCAACGTCATCACAGAACTGGCACCACGTGTGCCGGCAAGTCCTGCCGAGTCTCCCCAGCGAGTCCCCTGGCTCACTCCTGGGACGGTGAGGTTGGGGGAGACCTTCTCACTCTGGCCCCTCCCTGGGCCACTCAGTCTTTGTGCTTTTCACTTGGATCTGAGTTCACCGATTCATCAATTACAAACATCCTCGACTCAACTGAGCATTTTGAGGTCAGGGGCTGCAAGTTTCTTCTCTGAGCCCTACAGGGCCCAAAGCTGGGGCTCAAGACCTGGCCATGTGTGATCACCAAACTGTGGGCCCCAGGGGAACCTCACTCAGGGTTCCCTGCTCCCCAGAAAGGTCAAGAACTCCAAATAGGGATGTCCATAGCATCCCCAGATTGAAGGTGGAGATGTGGTAGGACTTCCTGGGATTCAAGAGCCCCACTTCTGAGCACCGAGAACAGGAGAGACAGCCAGGTGTGTGTCCAGGTAGGAAGAGGAGGAGAGGGCTGGCTTCCCAGGTGACACCTCGGGGCAGGGGTCGTCTGCCTCCCCACAGGGCCATCGCCCCTCCCGAGACTCACCCAAACATGGCTGCTGTCTGCCGGGTATTCTGCTGGGGCGGGGTGGAGGTGCTCGTGGACAGGAGGGCGTCATTGCCCGCCTTCTCCCAGTCAAAGGCCTCGTTCTCGGCTATGCCCCGCTCCTTCATGCTGTTCTCAAACACTGACATGATCAACTGCAGGGGGCAGGGGTGGCGGGAGGACAGAGCGGTGACCCCAGGGGCTAGCCAGGAGGAGGGGGCAGGTGCTGGGGTTGCAGAGGGGAAGACAGGGGCCTTCCAGGACAGGGAAGGGCCAAGAGGGGGCATTGGAAGGAGAAGGGCACATTGATTTTAAATGAAAACATGCACACAATATGCAAATCAGCATGCAAATTATTGTCTGGACTTCAGCTCCCCCCTGGCTGGATACGAGCCCTTGGAGATGTGTCCCCCTCAATCCAGCCTCCTCTGCCATCACCACTGGCTCAGCAGACACAGCAGCAGCAGCAGTTTCCCAAACCCACCACCTGGGGTCATACCTCTGCACAGAATGCTTCGTCTGCCTGCAGTGCCTGGCCCACCATTCTCTCCCACCTGAAGCCTTCCCTGATTCCCTCGCCCACACAGCCTCAGTTTGAACCATTCACAGGCCTGCCTGCCGCCTCTACATTTCTAGCAGCCAGCTGCAGGGCCCAGCTCAGGGTGTGCTGGAAGCTGTGTGGTCTGGAGGACCTCATGAGGCTCAGTTAGGACTAAGGGGCATGGTCTCCCGACTACCCGAGTAAGGAATCTCTGCCAACAACCGGGTCTCTGAGTTTAGGAGGTGGCAGTCCCCCAGACATTCCTGCTCTGACTTAGCTCTCTCTCCAGACGGTTCTCTCTGCTAGCGGGACCCCCTTTACTGTGGGCCCACTGTGGGCCTGACACTCTCTGTGCTCCCGAGGGGTGTGGCCATGCCTGGCACACAGCGGATCCTGGCAGAACACTGTTTCCCCCATTCTTTGATCAGGGTCAGCAGGCCCCATACGAGTGTGGTGAGGGCACCTTGGAAAGAGCACTGGACTTGGAGGCAAGTGTGCCCGAGCCCTGCCCTGCTCCTCACCAGGCTGCCAGGCCTCAGTTTCCTCATCTGTGAAATGGGGACAATCATCCCACTTGGTCTCCTACAGAGTTTCAATGTAAAGTTCTTGAAAGCACTTGGTTTCATTAATGATTAAGTGCTGGAATAATAACATGAAGAACACGCGATATCGCCAAAGGCTTGTTTTAAAGCTTAAATGAATCAAGGCAGGAAAAGCGCTGAGAGCAGGGTGAGCTCTTGATAAATCAGAGCTGTGCCTGCTGTTTACAAGAGCAGAGAAGAGTTTCCTTCGTGCAGTTGGACGAGCAGGGGAGGTGCTCGGGACCAAGCCAGCAGGGGCGTGGGGCCTCAGCAGGATAGACGGTGCTGGAGACGGTCGCCCACAGAGAGGGGGGTGCAGGAGCGGGCGGCAGGCTCCCACCTGGTAATCGGGCTTCGTGAAGTAGTCGAGGCTGGCGATGTGGTCCAGGAAGAGGTGGAACTCGGAAGGCATGTGCTTCAGCAGCATCCGGTGCTCATACTTTTCCTTGATCATCCCTACCTGCTCCTGGAGGCAAGGGGGCACCAGGAGATGGAGCCCCGGCTGCCCCCCATACCCTCGCCACCCCCAGGCCCAGCTGTACTGGCCTCACCTTGTCCTTGATCTTCCTCCAAGGCAGCTGACCCACTGCAAACTCCACCAGCATGTAGAAAAGGGACCACAGGTCATCGTGGCGGCCCATCTCCTGGGGGTGGGGGTGCGGAGGGGGGTCACCCACAGCTCTCGGGTCCTTCCCTGGGAGTGGGGGCTGACCCTTCACTGAGGCACCCCAGTCAGGGTGCCTGTGGGCAGAGCTAGGGTCTCCCTGAAGCCACGGCTCCACTCCTGACCCATCAACACACAGAATCCCTCAGTCAAAAGTTCTGTGTGAGTTTTCTCATCCTCCAGAGATTCGTGGTGCGGACAGAGAGGAGGGGATCCCCCAAGTAAGGAAGAAGGTGACGTCAAGGAGAGACACCAGGAGAGCCCTCCTCCAGGGTCTCTGGAGGGGCAGCTTCCAGCCCCTGTCTTGGGCTCCCCTCCACCCCACCACAGCCGCACACCCTACCCATGACCAGTGCCCGTACTGTCTTACCTCCCCCAGTCCCGGCCCAGCCACTCACCCGGTTCTTGTGGGCATTGACCGAGGCATAGCGAACAGTCCCCCGAAACCCGGCCACATTCCGAGGCTGCAGAGGGGAGGACACCACCAGGAATGTCACCCGCTGCCCCTGACTGTGATCTCAACCCTGCTTACCAAGCCTCCTCAGCCTACTCTAGCCCTGACGGCCTCCCCCTCTGCCCCCACCCCACCCCCGCTCCGGATCACGTGGGTCAAGAGCACCCTGACACACACGCCCAGTCCTAAACCTGCCTCCTGCCCCTGCCTGATGCCCCCACTCATCTGTCCTTGCCGGGAGTGGGCAGACACCACCGGGCGTGGAGTGGCCTGCACTCAGGCCAACGGGGAGAGGGAACGGGCCGCGTGTGGATTCAGCACTGAGTGACACTGAGGCCAGGCCCGTCTAGGCAGCTTCAGGAAAGGCTGGGGAAGGGTCCCCAGATCACCGGGTGGGGGCGAGGAAGCCAGGATTCCGGTGAGCGGCGGTACTCACAGGCCGGACGTCCCCCGTGGTGTTGGTGTACTGCCGGGCCAGCCCAAAATCCAACATGTAGCACTTTCGGTAGGTGGAGGGCAGCCTGCCCATGGCAAAGTTTGACTGGGGGGAGACAGCAGCTGTGAGGCCACCTGTGAGCTCCCACCTGGCCCACCTCAGGAGACTCCAGAAACAGCTCTGGTGAGGGCCCCTCCACCCCCGCTCACACTCACACGAGAGTAAAATACCATCGTGTACAGCAGGTCACGGACCCTCATCTGAGGGGCAGGTGTGATTATCGTCACTTTAGAGAGGAGGAAACTGAGGGCCAGCTGGGGGCTTCTCCCAGATCACACAGCAAGAGGTGACCCAGCCGAGGCCTGCCTGGCTCGGCGCCCCCGGGACTCCCGGCAGGACCATGTGGCCTAGTGTAGCCGTCCTGCTCTGCGGCACCAGACGGCCAGCATTGTTCTTGCTGTGTGACTTTGGGCCACTCAACCAACCTTTCTGGGCCTGTTTTCACTTTTTTTGTTTTTTAATTTGTTATTTATTTATTTGGGCCTTAGTTGCAGCACGTGGAATCTAGTTCCCTGCCCAGGGATCTAACCTGGGCCCCATGAATTGGGAGTGGAGAGTCTTAGCCACTGGACCACCAGGCAAGTCCCTCACCACTTTAAATCAGAGGTTTTTTCCCCAGCACCAAGATCCAAGATGACACAAAATTAGCTACTTGGAATCTTCCCAAACCACAGCCCCAAGGTCCTCTTCCTCAATCCCTCCATCTTTCCCCAACCCCTTCACCTTTCCCGGTTCAAGGATTATTCAGGTCAGGGGTGAGAAAAAGGAAGAGGAGAGAAGAGAGGGGAGGCCACGGGTATGGCCAAGGGTGGGCAGAGGTGCTCCTGGGAGGCAGGGGAGAGGAGGAGGTGGTGCTGGGGATGGAGAACAGGAGGAATGGACAGGCAGAAGAAGCTGTCCCCGCCCCAACCACTGCTCTGGAGAAGAAACAGGGGACCCAGGGAAGGAGAGAAGGTGGGGTGAGCTTCGGAGGAGGGGCCCACCCTCACCGGCTTGATGTCGCGGTGCAGGAAGCCCACGGAGTGGATGGCCTCGATGGACTCCAGGATCTGCTTGCCCAGCCGCAGCGTGGTGCTCAGCGTGAAGGTGCCCCGCGGCTGACTGCGGCGCAGGTCAGCCAGGTTCCGGCCCTGCGGTGAGGGTGGGGCCCTGCTCAGCTGCCATCCAGCTGTCCACCGCCACTGTGACACTCAGCACCTTCCCAGCCTCACCACCCCCCTAAGGCTTGTGCCCAGCCCCCGCTCCTCCAGAGTCCACAGTCTCCATCCTACCCCAGACATCCCCGCCAGATCACTTGGGGGAGAGAGGAGGGAGGATGGGCCGTGGGGGCTCACCTGGAGCTGCATCACCACGTAGTTGAACTTCTCGTTCCGGCCACAGCCAATGAACCTGCACACGTGGTCTTTCCCTGAGGGGCACAGACAGGGGTCTCCCAACTCCCACTCCTTCTTCCCTACTTCCAGCCCTAAGGTGGGCTCCTGGGGCACTCTTGATTCCTGGTTCCCCAGCCCTGGGCCCTGAACACTTCTCCCACCTCCCCCTGCACTTTAAGCCCATCGTGGTTCTTGGACTCGGGTCCCAGAGCCCCTCGCCCATCACCTATCGGCCCCAGGCTCCATCACCCCTCCCCTCCCCTCCTGCCCTGGACCCACACCTTGCAGCTTTTTGAGCACGGCCACCTCCATCTTGAGGACCTGCTTGGGTTGCTGGGCCGACTCCACCTTGAGGGCCACATTCTCCCTGGTCAGCAGGTCCATGGCCTCGTAGATCTCACCAAAGCCCCCGCCCCCGATCTTTTTGAGCTACAGAGACAGGGGAGGGGGAAGAGGGGGCACGGGGATCAGGCTGAGTAGCTCTCCACCCAACCCACTGCTGGCTCACATCCTTCAGTGTCCTTGGAGGAGAGGATCCCCCACCCACCACTGCTCCCACTCCTCTCCTAGTGCTAGAGACAGACAGATCAGCAACCACCGCCCCCCCCCCACCCTACACACACACAGGGCCACACATCATGTGGGCAGGGGGGTAAGTTATGAGACCTGAGACTCCACAGAGACATAGAGACAAACCCATGCAGGATTCTGAAGAGATAATGGGCTGTTGTGAGCCATTTAAAGGACAGAAATACCACGCTCCCCCCATCCCCCACCTAGACTGAGCAGCCTCCATCCAGAAGCAGAACTAATTTCCAGAACCTCACAGTTTCAGGTGGGTCCCCCAGGGAGGCCAGCCCTTTCAGGGGTTGGCAGTCTCTTGAAAGATGACACCAGGGGCAGAGAGCCTCTCGAGGAGTGTCTGGGGGTGGGGACTCAGCAGAGGGTGTTCTCTGCCCACGTCACTCCTGAGGACTGAGGTCAGATGCCCAAAACCAGGGTGAGTCTCCTCTCCCAGGGAACATGGTGGGGATGGAAGTTTGGAGAAAATCTGTCTGTTCCCAGGGAGCACTGCAGTGGATCTCTGACCCTCTGCCCCCCCCCCACCCCCCGCCCCCACCGCCCCACCTCCAGCATCCCCAGGCAGGGAGTGAGAAAAGACAGAGGGGAGAACTGTGAGAGAGAAGGAATTGGCCAGGGGAGATGAGCAAAGCTGAGTTAGGGGGTGGGATTAAAAGTCATTTCAAGTCAGGGGCCCAGGGCTCTTGAAGAGTGAGGGTGCTGCTGGCAACGATGGGGGGACAGTGGAGAAGGTGCTGAGTTCTAAGCGGGGACTTATTTGGTTTAAGAAAGATGCATACGTGTTACTGCCATCTTTCCATGCCACCAAAATGATATGCATGAACGTTCTGGCCGATGCTCTCAAGAGCATCAACAATGACAAAAACAGAGGCAAATGCCAGGTTCTTACCAGGCTGTGCTCTAGAGTCATCATCCAGTTTCTAACTGTGACGGTGAAGCATGGTTGCATTGGTGAGCTTGACATCATCAGTGCTCACAGAACTAGCAAAATTGTTGTGAACGTCATAGGTAGGCTAAGCAAGTGTAGGGGGATCAGCCCCAGGTTTGAGGAGCAACTCAAAGATTTAGAAAAATGGCAGAATAACCTGTTCCCGCTCCATCAGTGTGATTTCATTGTACTGATAAACCCAACTGGCATCATGAAATGTGAGGAAGCAGGACAAAAAAACACAGGAGGGAAAATCCTGAGATTCTTTTTCTAGGGTTGTAACACATCCAGGCAAATAAAATGCCTCACTAGGAAAAACAAAAGAAAGAAAGCTGTACAGTTCCATTCTCACCTCCCAAGGAAGCCCATCCATCATGGAGAGCCTGCTCTCTTCCTGAGCCCTTACTCCTGGCCTGCAGGATTGTAAGTGGCTTGTAACACACCGGCTGCAGCTGGGCTTACTCACGATTGGATGGAAGCTGCTCTGGTCATCCAGCCTGTAAACTCCTGGCTCTGAGCCTCCCGCATCTCCGAACCCTCCCTGTGGCATTTGCTCAGCACTCACATGCCCAATAAATGTTTAATGGCGGTTGAAACATGGGAACGGCAGAGGAAAGGGGGCAGGGCAGAGCTGAGGACTGGGAGTTCCCAGCAGATCACAGTGGTAAACACTCTAGAAAGAGAGGGGAGGATGCAGGGAAGATTGAGAAGACAAGTGGAAGGCTGGTTGGGTTCTTGTGCCCAAGAAAGAGGATGGAGGAAGAACAGGGAGACACCAGGGTCCCTCTCTTCTTGAGATAAAAGGTAAGGTCAGGCTTCTAGAAGAATTTTGAACAGGAGGAGACAGAGAAAGGCTCAAGGGAACCCATGCAGGTCTTCTGGGGAATGTGAAACTCAGGGGAGATTCTAGTATCTTCTAGATTCCTTTATGGTTTTCTTTGTGGGAACATGGAGGAAAGGGCAAGGGAGAGGGTACGACCACTACCCTTGGGTTCTGTCTGCTCCAGACTCACAGATTTCATCTCAGCTCATCCCCAGAGGCTCCCGACAACTCACAGGAGTTATCATTTTGCACAAAAGGAAAACTAAGGCACAGAGAGTTAAGTACCTTGCCCCAGTTCACACTGCTAGTAAGTAGCAAAGCCAGGTTTCATTTAAATCCAGGGAATGGTAAAGAACTGCTTGCCAATGCAAGAGACCTGGGTTTGATCCCTGGGTTGGGTAGGTCCCATGGAGGAGGACATGGCAACCCACTCCAGTATTCTTGCCTGGAGAATCCCATGAACAGAGGAGCCTGGCGGGCTATGATCCATAGGATCGCTAAGAGTCTGACGACTAAAGAGACTTAGCACATGCAATCTAATGCAGAACCCATGCTCTTAACTGCAATTTTGTAGGAACTGTTGACCATACTGGCATTAACAGTATGAGTGCTGAGATTCAAGCCCAGATTTGCCAGGTTCCAAAATCCTTGCTAGAGATGGTAAGGAGGGCTCGGGGCACTCAAGATATTTCTGACATCTATTCCCGAATTTCCCAGGACACCAAAGGGTATTTCTCTACCACCTCCACTTCCAGTTTTTCTCCTCTCTTAGTTCCCTAATCACCCCTACCCACCCATTACAGAACCTCTGGGGGCAGGAGAGTACACTGGGCACAGAGGCTAGTTCCCTAATAATACTTTTAGAAGGCCATGAAAATGTTCTAATTTCTTTTAAAGTCAGAAGGGGAATAAATGAACTTTTTAGATAAAATTTTTATGATATAATATTAATTTATTCCTTATTATAGAAGTGCAATCACACAATTCCAATTTTTAGTACTTTATTATTTTTGAAGAGGCCAGTTGGAGGCAAAACTGACTGCCCAAGCCCCACAAAAGTCCCAGAACAGCTTTGCCCACGCCCAGTAACAGGAACATTCTCACAACTAGACCCTGTTCCTTCCCTCCTACATTTTCTCAGGAGCCCCTCCACTGCTGAAGGACCTCGATACAATAGGACACAATAGGACCAGCATTCACTTAGGAAAAAGGAAACCTGGTTTCTTGGCCCAGCTCTGGGTGACCCAGGATGAGTTTCTGCTTTTCTCCTTCTGTAAAATGAGAGTGGGACTACAATAGGTCACAATTCTCCCTCGACTCTGTGATCTTAATTCTTGGAGAGACTCATTCTTGGGAAATGAATGGCACAGTTCCGTGACTGTTGCACCAGCAATCGGACAGACCTGGTTTCACCAGCCAGTCATGGGAACCTGGCAAGTTAGCTCATCTTTGTATCTCAGTTTCCATACCTGTGAAATGGGAATAATAATGGTATCTATCCCATAGGTTGTTGAGGTCAGGCATGTAAGGGACTTTACACATTGCCTGGCCACAGTATGTGCTCAAAATAAACGCTAAGTTTTTATTGTTATTATAGTTTTTTATTCTGATTCAGAGAGGCACCCCTCAAGAAGAAAGCTGTCATTTTTAAATATTCCACCTAGTGCCATGGGCCCTCCTTTTCTCCTGGCATAGACCATCTGAGCGGCTTGTTCTTGGTTCCTGAGCTGTGCCTCACTCCTGGCCCTCGTGGAGGTTGGCTGAGGGGGGCGCATCTGGCACCCCACCCTGTCTATTTCTCCAGGGTCCAGGGAGGGAGTGAGGGGAAAGAGAGTTCACCCTGTAAAGACTAAGGGCTTGCTCCCTGTCCCCCAACCCGACCTCTACTGCTTCTCTCCCCACTCATCTCCCATCCCCTCCCTCAAAAAGCACAGGAAAGTTCTAACCCAAACTCATCATGCTGGCAAACACCCTCTTCTCACCTCTTCAGTGCAAAAGTCCTCCTGCCCCCAATCTGCCAGAAACTACCCTGAGCAGGACCTGATGGGAGTGGGGTCTTGGAGGAACACTCCCCACTTTGCCAGACCCTCATTCCTTTGATTCCTGCCCTGGACCCTCCTCTCCTGATTTCTGTCCCCTCCCTTTCCCTCTCAGGAAGCCCCCTCTGGGACACAGACAGCCCATTCCCTTGCTCTCTGGCTTCTCCAGCTCCCTTCTCAGCCCCTGCTCCCAGTTCCAGGGACATCTCTGACAGTGTGTTGTGGCTTTTGGCCCTCTCCCTGGGCCACTGGCGAACCTGCCCACGGGGTGGTTGTTGCCATGGTAACCTGCAGGGCAATCGGGACGCCCCACTCTCCTTTCAACCCTGCACCTCTGGTGAGTTGAGCCCCTACCCTCTGTCCAGTGGTTAAGACTGTGCTTCCACTGCCGGGGAGCAAGGTTCGATCCCTCGTTGGGGAACTAAGATTCCCGCGTTACCACCACCACCACCAACAAATCAGTATTTCTACAGTAGGTCCCGTTCAGCATACACTGCACCGCCTTTGCCTCGCCCCCACGCGTTTCCCTCCCATCCGAGGCCCAAAGCCCTGAGGAGGCTCGGACTACAATTCCCAGCAGGCCGGGCAGCCTGAAGTCCCGGGCTGGAGGAGCAAGGCACGCTGGGAGATGGAGTCTCGGCATGTTGCACCTGCCGCAGGAAGCCGTGAGGGGAGGAGGGTGGATGGAGAAGATGGAGTGCGGATGCGGTGGGAGCCGCCTGCAGGGCCTCTTTCCCCGAACCCAGGCTTTTCTGTCCTCTGCGGAAGAGGAGGGGCTCACTCACTGCCCTTCTCCAAGGTCCAGCAGAGAAACAGCCCCCTCCCCCACCCTCATCCTCCTCCCCTCCCAGAGCTCTGCAGCTCCCGCTCCGACATCCAACCAAGAGTTGTTTGAGGCTGGGCCCAACCAACATGACCTAGCGAGGAAAGGGGTGAGAGACGGCGGGGTTGGAGACGGGGGCACCGGGAGAAAGCGATGGTCCACAAGTGTAGGCAAAAGAACGACCAGCAAGCCATGTGCAAATGAACTCAGGGGCACCTCCCTCTTAGGGTAGGGCCGCCGCAGGCACCTGCTTTAACAGGTCTCCAAGCCCTCCCCTTCCACCTCCCCGCTCCCCTCCCTCTGTCTCGCCGGGTCACTCACTCACCACCTTCCAGCGATCCTTGACCACGTAGTTGGCCGGCAGGATGTCGGCCTGCTCCCCTCCCCCACTCATGTTGGTTTCGTCCTTAAGAGCGGCCGCTAGGCACTGCATTCGCCAGCCGGAGGGAGGGGTGTCCGCAGGGCCTGCCCTGAGGGGGCCATCTACCTGGGGAGTGGGGAGAGACTGTGAGGGAAGCAGGCTAGGACCCAGGACCCACTTGCAGATATGGAAGAGGCGACTTCCGTTCTCCTGGCTGGCATCTTTCCCTGGCCCACTGGGTAGGTGCTCCAGGGGTCACTGGGGGAAGCATTGTCCACAAATGCCGTTCAGGCGGAAAGACATGCAAACTATAACCTGGAGATGTGAAAACCAGCAATGGGGACATACATGTGGTGGGAAAAGGAGAGGAAAATGATGTGTGAGTAGGCTGTGGGGAAAGCGTTTCCCACAGAGACAGATGCTAACGAGTGTGGGGAAGACTTGCTAACTGAGGAAGGCACAAGACTGGAATGGGTGCTTGGGCAGGGAAACCGGAGCCAAGAAGGACCAGCATGATAGGATCTGTGGTCCCCACACCCACACATTTTCCATGCCACACCTTGCCCAGGAAACTGTGCATCTAAGGCTCATTGAAAGGGGAGACTGCTGACCAAAGGATGACCCAGGGAAGACCCACACCACAATGACAGAGCGCTCTAATCAACCGTGGGAGAGGTGATCATCTGAAAATGAGGTGCTACCCAAGAGGCCCTTGAGGATGGTACTGAGGATGGTGCTGAGTGAGAAGTCTGCCACCATTCTCAGAGCTGAGCCCAAACCACGACCACGGCCACGGCCACGGGGGGTGAGAAGCAAGGATGTGAGCGATGGGGTGAACATCAGGCGATGGACTCAAGATGTGGATTTTAGAGGTAAGGCAGCCCTGTGGTCACTCAGAGGGAGAGAGAAGGCTAAACTGGGGGGAAGTGAGGAGAGTGGGGAACTGGAAGCAGTCTAAGAGAAGGCAGGAGGAATGCTGGGTAGCAGGGGGTCTGGATGGACAGTGGACGAGAGAGCCTCTGCCCACGCTTTTCTGTATCAGCTCAGGAAGGAACACAGCTCTTGTCACCTTTGGATAGGTAGAAGTTGGATATCGGGAGGGGTGTGAGGGCTGGGAAGGCCAGCCAGTGTTACCCAGGGAAATGTCACTGGTGCGCATGCGTGTGTCTGTGTGTGTACCTTGTGTGTGTGTGTTCATATCTTGGTGTGTCCTTCTGTGTGTGTGTCTGTGTGTCTTTGTGTATATCTGTATCCATGTGTGCTTATATGTGCTTTTGTGTCTGCCAGTGGGTGAGGTGCCTCTGTGTAGACAGGGGCCAAAAGAGATGGCTTTTTGAGATCTCTGCCAGCCCAGTACAGCAATGGATCTTTTCCTCTCTTCTTTCCCTCTATGCTTCTCATAAGCACACGGCTCTGCCCTCCCAGTGACCCTGGACAGTCACAGATGGAAGCAAGTTCCTCAGGCAAGGTATGGTGGGGGAGGTGGCGAGGAGGAAAGTGCCTCAGATACCTGCGGATGGGGCAGGAACTCCGTGAGCCTCAGTTTACTTGGGATGGGCTCATTGCCCAGGGCTCCTGTCTGGCCATCCAGGCCATCCAGGCAGCATGGGATAGTGAAGGCGGGGAAACCATCTTCAACAGGTCATGGTGTGCCATGAGGGATCTACAGGGAGAGGAACATTGCCACTCTTTCTGCCAAATGACTCAGCTGACTGTTTCCTCCAATCCACGCAACTTCAGAGTGTCAGGACTGTGGGGATATCAAATAGGCTTCTGCCTTCCTTCTGCCAAGTGGCAAATGGGGCATCAGGAATTCAGAGGGCAATGGGGGCAATGGCAGTAGGGGGAGGGATGGGGCAATCTGGAATAAAGGTGGAGGAGACAGGTGGAGGCCAAGATTGAAGAAGCAATTGAACCAGGAGGGAGGGAGCCTTGAGGAATTAAGCAGGGTGACCTCTGGTGGGCCCTCCGAGTCCTGTATGGTGGATTCTACAGACTGAAGAGGATGATGTGAGTCCTGATCCCATTCTATAGATGGGCAAGCAAAGATGGAACAGGTGAGGTGGGAAAAGGTGGAGTGGAGGCAAGTGGATAAATGAGGGTTCCCTGCCTCTCCCTGCCCGCCAGCCTCCCCACTCTCTGCCTCAGAGGACTGCACTCAGCCCAGGCTAGGGTGGGATGACACAACACAAGGAACGTGGCTGCCCCATGATTGCGCCCTCAGGACCCTTTGGTGTGTAGCGGCATAGATGTGTCGTGAGATAGGGCTTGTGGAGGAGGTTTTATGAGTATCTGTCAGTGACTGTGTGTATATGAGAGAGTGGGACCAATGATGTGTATGTGTGTGGTGGTGGGGTGTACCCAGGTGGTTGGGAGCTCATCATGGCATATGCACCTATAGGTGTTGATGTGCACCTGTGCAAGGTGTAAGCCAGGTGTGTGTAGGAATGTGGGAGCCCAGGTAAAGAGAAGTGTGGGAGATCGGTGAGGAGTAATGGGAACAGGTGAAGAGAGGTGTGGAAGGGGGCAGAGGGGAATGGAAGGGACAAGGGGAGACAGGATCAAAGGAGGGGGTACATCGGATAGAGACAGGTGGGGGATAAGCATGACAGGTGAGGAGGGGACAGGACTTGTGAGAGGGGCTCCTGGGCACAGTTGAGGTGTGAGGAAGTAGGTAAGGAGGCTGCTAGGAGGAATGGAGGGACTGAGGACAAGGGAGAGAGGTTATGGAGACAGCGGAGAGGACTGTCAGGGATGCCAGGAGAGTGAAGCCACAGGGACTGGGACTGGCGGACGGGCAAGGAGCAGCACCCCGGGAGGACAGGCTGGAGAGGGTGGGTAATGCGGGGGGCAGGGCGCCGTTCCAGGCCTCGGGATGCGGCCCAGGCTGTGTAGGCCAGCGTCCCAGCTCGGGTGGAGACGGAGACAGAGCCGGCACAGGGAGGGGGAGCTGGAGAAGGCTGCACTGGGAGCTGAGCCAAGCCGAGGCCCGATGGGTCCCCAGAAGGAGCCCCCTCCCCGACCCCCGCCCGGCCCGCCGGCCGCGCCCCGCCCCGCCTCGCCTCGCCTCGCCTCACCTGCTCTGTGCCCGCTGCGGCTGCGGCTGCGGCGGCGGAGGCAGCGGCTCGGGGCGGCGCATCCCCCGGGACCGGGGCGGAGCGGGGACGGGGGCGGCTCAGTGCGTCGCTGGGTGGCCCGCTCCCTCGGGCGGCGGTGGCGGCGGCCTCCCGACCGGGACCATCCCGGCCCGGTCCGGCCCGGCCCCGATCCTTCTCGGGCGACAGCGGCGGCAGCAGCAGAGCGGGGAGCTGCCCACAATGCACTGCGCCGCCAGCATCAGCACCAGCCCTGACATCACCTCCTCACCGCCCCGGCTCTTACATCATCGTCCTTGCTCTGACATCACATTCCACTCTGCTCCTTTCTCCACTCCTGCGACTCTACGACTTTCTCTCAGATGGAACTGCTCCGGCTCCTAGGTTCTTCTCACTGGCCTCTGCCATTCACTTGACCTCCATCCCCTAGCAGTGCCCTGTCGCTCTTTACCTGTCCCCACAAACCTCACCTGTCTTCATCACCCTGTATCTTCTCCACTCCCAGCGTGTCCCTATCACTCCTCACCTTCTCCCATCAGGCTCAACTGATTCTCCCACGACATCTTCCATACATTCATATTACTTTCCTCAATTCATTTCCCCTCACCTGTACCCATCCTCTCATAAGTCCCCTCCCCTCTTCTTCTAACACCATCCCTCACCTATCTCTCACCTTCCTACCTCCTGCCTGGCTCAACCTGGCTCTTTCTTTCTTTGGCCCTTTCTCCCATCTGTTGACAAACTCTCTTTGTTTTTCTCACCAAATGGAATGCACACTCCTTACCGTGATACAAAACATTCTTCTCAATATGAGCCTAGAGAAGCTAGTGATACCCTTCTGGAAATACTGAATTACTCAACATTCCCTGAACATACTTTGCATTTTGTCTCTCTCAGTTCCCTTCCTTCCATCCCTCTTGTCCTCAACAAATGCACACTAATTTCAACAGTCATGATGACAATAATAATAATAATAACAGTAACGATTTACTCCTGCCAGACACTGTTCTGAATTTTCACATGCTAATTCTTTTAACCTTCATAACAACCCTTTGAGGTAGCATACTATTGTTATACCTATTTTATTTTATAAATTAGCTTTAATTAATTAACTTGGCTGTGTTGGGTCTTTGTTGCTACATTGGCTTTTTCTAGTTGCAGCAAGCAGGGGCTACTCTCTAGTTGTGATATGCTGGCTTCTCACTGCTATGGCTTCTCTTGTTTGCAGAGCACAGGCTCTAGAGTGAGTGGGCTTCAGTAGTTGTGGCACATGGGTTTAGTTGCCCCCTGGCATGTGGAATCTTCCCAGACCAGGGATTGAACCAGTGTCCGCTGCATTGGCAGGAGGATTCTTAACCACAGGACCACTAAGGAGTCCTTAAATTACTTTTTATTGGAGTATAGTTGCTTTATAATGTTGTGTTAGTTTCTTCTGTATAGCAAAGTGAATCAGCTGTAATATACACATATATGGTCTCTTCTCTGGATTCCCTTCCCATTTAGGTCACCACAGAGCACTGGGTAGCAGTCCCTGTGTTATACAGTAGGTTCTCATGAGTTATTTATTTTATGCATAGTGTCAACTGTGTGTATATGTCAACCTCAATCTCCCAGTTCATCCTTTCCCACCTGTGTTCTCTAGGTCTGTGTTGTTATGCCCATTTTATAGATGAAACTAAGATGCAGAGAGGTGGAGTAATTTGCCTTAAGTTACACACACAGCTAACAAGTGGCAGAGCTGAAATTCAAACCCTGGTCACAGGGTCTGTGCTCCTAACCTCCATACTGGGAAGAAGGGTCTCTGAATCTGCAAGAGTAGTCATAGGAGGCTTCTTGGAGGAGGTGCACTCAGCTGTACTTTGAGGAATATGTAGGGATTTTTCAACTGATGAGTGGGGCCAGGGCAAAGGGTGGGAGGGACTTCCACGCTGAGAAGACAGCATGTGGTGAGCTGGGGGTGCCCTTGTGCCAGGTCGTGAATGAAGGGATTTGTGTGCTGGGCTAAGGAGATTGCTTCCTCTCCATTTAGTTTTTGAAAGCTGGATAATGTGATGAGCCATCCAGATCCCCCTTCAGAATCCAGGGACTCACTTCCCTGGCTGCCTGGGGTGCTGAAGACCAGCTCTCACAGCTCACTCACTCTCTAGAATTGCCCTTGACCAAGAGAGTTGCCATGCCCAAGATCACGTGCCCTTCTGGGGGATATCCCATAGTCAGTCGATGATAGAGCTGTGAGTACAAAGGCCTGACCCCCTCACCCCACCTCAGGGCAGCTCTGAAGGGACATCCTATTTATAAACCCCCCATAGGATGAGGCAAGGCATCTGTTGAGGCTGCATGAAAGCTCAGCGTCTCCTCTGCCCAGTGCTTCTTCCTTCACCCCTCCTCAGATGTTGATCTCAGAGCACTTCCCATAAGCCTGCTGCATGAGCATCCCTGTCCCAGACTCCATGTCCAGGAGACATAGACCTTTTGAGAAGAAATCACTGAAGAATTTTAAGCAGAGATAAGACACAGTCTGATCAGAGTATTAGGTTAGAACTCTAGGTTGACTTTTTTTAAGGTTTTAAATTTTTTATTAAAACAAAAATTTTTTTTGGCTACACTGCATGTAAGATCTTAGTTCCCTGACCAGGGATCGAACCTGCCGCCCCTGCAATGGCAGTGTGAAGTCTTAATCACTGGACCACCAGGGAAGTCCAAGCTTTATTAGTATTTTAGAAGTGTTGCTGTGCTGTCTTCTAGCTTGCATTGATTCTGATAAAAGATCTGCAGTTATCCTTATCTTTGCTGGTCTGTGTGTAATGTTTTCTACCCTGGCTACTTTTACAAGTTTCTCTTGATCACTGGTTTTAAGCTGTTTGATGATGTACCTTGGTGTAGTTTCTTGCACTTGGAGTTTGTTGAGCTTCTTGTAAATGTGGATTTATAGTTTTCATCAAGTTTGGAAAATTTTTCGCCATGATTTACTCAACTATTTTTTCTCCTCTTCTCTTTCCTTCAGGGACTGCAACACCCTGTCTACTAGGCTGCTTGAAGTTGTCCTGCAGCTCACTGATGCTTTGTCCATTTTTTCTCAGTCCTTTCTCTCACTGTGTTTCATTTTGGATAGCTTCCACTGTTACTTATTCAAGTTTCTTAATCTTTGCTTTTGTGCCATCTAATCTGATTTGAATCCCATCCAATGTATTTTTTTAACTGTAGTTTATATCTCTAGAAGTTCCATCTGGGTCTTTTAAATTTTTTCCCATGTTTAATTTTCCTTCTAACTTCTTAAACATATAGAATAGTTATAATAACTCTTTTAATATACTTGTGTAAGAATTTCTTATCTGATAAATTTCTGAATCCACTTCAGCTGATGTTTCTTTGCACTGTAGGTCATATTTTTCTGCTCCTTCCCATTCCATAATTTTTTTTTTGGTACCAAATATTGCTAATTTTACCTTATGGGGTCCTGGATAGTTTTGTGCTTCAGTAAAATTGTTGAGCTTTGTTCTGGGGTGCAATTAATTTACCTAATTTGATCCATTCAAGGCTTACTTTTTACATCTTTGTTAGGAGGGAACTGAGCAGTGTCTAGTCTGGGCCTAATTTTCCCCACTATTGAGGCAAACCCTTTGATGTCATTGGTGCACCCAGTGCACCATGTATTATGAGGTTTTCCATGCCAGCTGGAGGGAAAGGCATGATATCTAGCTTGTGTGAGCTCTGAAGTTTGTTCGCTCTGCTCCTTTCAGACGGTTCTTTTCCCACCTCAGGTAGTTTCCTCACACACATGTTCTGATCAGTCCTCAGGTGACTTTCATGGAGAACCCTGTGAAATTCCAGAACTCTCTCCTATCCTGTGCTCTGTCCTGCAGACTAGCTGCCTTGGACTCCCTGGACTTCCCAGTCTATTTCCCCAGCTCAAGGATCCAGCTTAGCCTGGATGCCTCCTGCCTGCAGCCTGGAAACCCCATGGGCAGTCCTCCACCTGGCTTGTTTCCATCTTTCAGGAATCACTGTCCTAGGCTGCCTGATGGCCAATGGTCAGCCATCATTGTTTTATGTATCCCCTCAGGTTTTTTTGGCTTGCTTCACCGATGGGTCAGATGATAAAGAATTCGCCTGCAATGCAGGAGACCAGGGTTCGATCCCTGAGTCAGGAAGAGCCCCTGGAGAAGGGAATGGCTACCCACTGCAGTATTCTTGCCTGGAGAATACCATGAACAGAAGAGCCTCGTGGGCTACAGAAGTCCATGGGGTTACAAAGAGTCAGACACAACTGAGCAGCTAACACTTTGACTTTTCAACATACAGCAAAGGAAACCATCAACAAGATGAAAAGGCAATCTACAAAGTGGGAGAAAATATTGAAAATCATATATCTGATGAGGGGCTAATATCTAAAAAATACACACAATTCATACAACTTTTAAAAGTCCAATTTAAAAATGGGTAGAGGAGACTTCCCTGGTGGCTCAGTGGTTAAAAATCCACCTGCCAATGCAGGGTACACAGGTTCGATCCCTGGTCCCAGAAGATCCCACGTGCTGTGGACAACTAAACCCACGAGCCACAACCACTGGGCCCAAGCGCCCTAGAGCCTGGGCTCTGCAACAAAAGAAGCCACAGCAAGGAGAAGCCCCTGCACTGCAAGGAAGAAGAGCCCCAGCGCACCGCGACTAAAGAAAGCCTGTGTGCAGTAATGAAGACCCAGTGCAGCCAATTAATTGATTAATTGAATGGAAAATATTTTTTTAAAGTGGGCAGAGGATTTGAATAGACATTTTTCCAAAGAAGACATGTAAATGGCCAACATGTGTGTGAAAAGATGCCCAACATGTCGAGGAGCAGTTAATCCTGTGCAGAGCAACTATTGAACCTGTGCTCTAGAACCTGGGAACTGCAATTGCTGAGCCCATGCCACAGCTGTTGAAGCCTGCTCACCTAGAGCCTGTGCTCTGCAACCGGAAAAGTCACAGGCAACCAGAAGCCCAAGCACAGCAACTAGAGAATAGCCCCTGATTGCCGCCAACTCAGGGAAATGTAAATCAAAACCACAATGAGATGCTACCTCACACTTGTAGGGATGGGTGTTATCAAAAAGACAAGAGGGAGTTCGTGGAAGTCCAGTGGTTAGAACCCTGCACTTTCACCGCCATGGACCTGGGATCAGTCCCTGGACAGGGAACTAAGATACCACAGGACGTGCAGTGCAGACCAAAAAATAATTAATTAAAAGACAAGAGATCAAGTGTTGGTGAGGATATGA